TCAGTAAACACTTGAACCTTTATTAATATAATTTTACATTTGAATATATTTGTATATATTGAAGAAACGTAAAGATAAACAAATTTGATACTAATTCGATTTACAAGCTTCGTACTTTGATTATATTTTCTAAACACATAATAATGGATTTTCCAACCTTTCATCTTTGACGTAATAATTTGAACCTCCTGTGTAGTAATACGTTTTTGTTAAATCTATTAAATGTAAGATAAGAAAATAGACAATAAATACGTGCAATTGTAATGAAAAACAAGAAAAGATACTTTTTTTTTTTTTTCTTTTTTTTTTTTTTTGTAGTATCGGCTTCCCACTGGATAGTCAAACAGATGGTTCACGTCCAAAAGCTCGTAACGATACTCCGACTTATAAACAACCAGGAGAATGAACAAGTATTGACCATCATTAAGAAGAAAATTCGATATTCGTAGGAATAGGAAAATTGGACAAAAGATTTTCATCATTGATTCGAACCAGAGGTGGGAGAAAGAGTTAAGATTTATAACTTCCGGTTCATTGAGAAAAGTTCCTAGAAGATGGCGTTTGCGCACAAGCAAAGAAAACTGATGTGCATGTTTCATTTTAATGACATCAATGTAATTCTCTCTCTGATATGCTTATCAAAATAATATGAACGATAATGAATAATAATTTAAAAAAAATATTTCATATCACATTTCATGTCGATTGCAAGTTTGCGTTAGTAATAAATAGGAATGACTAATTAACTACCTAATTAAGGTATAATTGGGTATTATTAAGGAATTGTAATGCATGCTACTGTAGGTGCGTATGCACGTTCCTTGTTCTATTCCGGTAGGACGAGCTTTTAACAAACGATCGTTAATATTTAACGACGTCGTTAATTCTCAAGGGAGCAAGATGGCCGCAGCTGTAATGTTCTCAATTTTATCCAAGATGAAATCAGCGCAAGCGCATCCTATCTTTATTAGACCAGAACTTATTGTCTAAATTGATTATATTTTCATTACAAAATTAAGTATTTTTTCTATCGAGTAATTATATAATTCGTTAAGTTTGTAATCATTAAATATGAGAAGTAGTTCAAGGTCGATCTTAAAGAGTTTCAACTTTTCGCATTGCAATTGTATCGTGCGCAGTAGAGGACTTTAATCGGAATAAAATTTGATATCCTAATGGATTATTATATTTTTTTTTTGGTAGAAAAAAAAACAAAACAAAAAAAAAACAAGAGAAAAAACATGGGGCAAAGAATGTCGTAAGGCCTGCAGGATGAAATCTCGAAGAGGTCGTGTCATGAGCAACCCCCCTACGGTAGTCCAAATCTAAACACTAAAACATTGGATTAAGTGGGGTACATACGTTGCATAAACATCTTGGCACCACGGGGGTAAGACGTTTAGTCAACTATTTCCAAATGAATTATTTCTCATTTGCACATTCAATAATTAGAAGAAAAAACGTATAAAACGTGTATGAAACGACGAGGAAAAAGTTTTGAAATTTTGCAAAGAAGCGAAAAATAGGAGCTTTTAACGAGGATTCGTGTTAACGTTGAACAAGAAGAAGAAGAAGAAGAAGAACTTACTTGCTTTCCGAAATAGCAGCATGAGCGGATAAACATGTCTTATTTTGAGAGCTGCTAGGGCAATTCTCTCTCTTTCTCTTTCTCTTTCTCTATCTACCCCTTCTATGCTCTCTTTCCCATTCAAACGATTCCTTTCCTATGGATTTTAGCTAGGATTTTACGGGAAGGAAATATTATCCAGACCCCGCGGTTAACGTTAACGATAAATTGCACGGAATGAAAGAAAAATTACGAGGATTTACGAATGATTTGATAAAGACATACCTATATTAGAAAAAAATAACAGACCAACAATAAAATAAAAATTACCCTTAAAAAAGTCTAAAATACTGTTTCACCGATGGCGGATGTAGGCTTAGAACTTGGGTTCAGAACGCTTTGGTTCTGAACGCGTAGGTTCTGAACGCGTAGGGTTTGTAAGGCGCAGCCACGATCAGCGGTATAAAATTACGGTATCGTGTAAACAGAATATCTCGTCGGCACGTCTGATGGCGGCTTGGGTGGCCGTCAGGCTTTCACGTGTTCTCCACAAGCATCGGGAGGGACTACGGTTATGTCGAGTCCGCGGTCTTTTCTTCCCTTTTCTTCGCGATCTCTTACTTGGATAACGTCTAATGAAAAGGATATTCATTTTTTATTAACAACCACACCTAACAGTTTAGTTTAACGTTTCACAATACCATTACATTTGCAAACAACTTGACATTTAGAAAAAAGCGCAGCAGCCTTAGATTATTTTTTCATTTGTGTATAATTTGTCGTTGTTTTTTCTTCTTCTTCAAATGGAAAAAAAATCTAAAATATTAGGCATTTCTCAAGGATTTGTCTTCCCTGGAGAAAATTTATGAGACAAATGGATATTAGAAGTTTCCCCCTCTGCCAAGAGGGCTCTTGAGAAAAGAAAGTCGTCGTAGTAGTAAACTAAAGCAACGGGAGCATTTAAAGGAAGAAGAAATAGAGACAAAATATGGGGAATGATGGAAAAGAGTCACGAGAGCATTCCTCCACTTTCAACCCTTAAGCCACGAGGCCTATTAACCAATTTCATAGGCGACAAATCAAAACAAGTGTCCTCTTCGCTGGGAACAACCAAGCACACAACGAAGCTCATCCTAACAAGGAAAAACGATGAAACATTTCTTTCCACTATCGTTGCAATATCGAAGATAAATTCTTGAATCTCTCAATGGTCTATTACCTTGATAATTGTAAACAATTTCTTAGAAGATGAAATAAAGCTTTAATTTCTTGTGATCTATTAAAGATCGTGTCTGTCTATATAACTAAATGTGCAAGTAGAGAGGGAAAAGTAAGATGGCTGTGTCGCATCTCTTTCAGCGGATAGATCGTAAAGCAAACAAACTTTCGGGGAATACATGGTCGAATGGCGTACGTTGTCCTCCAGGAAATGGAGGGCGACATTAAACTATACCTAAGTAGTTCCATTAATTATAAATAAACTTTATTAAATGATGGATTCAATCATTTCGATGCTTTAATAACTACATTATATCTAATAATCGATCTTTGAGAAATGATGACCAAAAATGATGACATTTTCAACGGGGGTACTGCGATTTAAATGAAGAAGATAAAACGATCAACGATATCATTTAATCCGCACTATTATAAAATATTCAAATCATTTGTTGTTTAATTCACGTTGTTTAATTGAAGCTGAAGCGATACAATATCATCTACTATTATTATAGTTTATTATTTTTATTCTAATCTTTCCTTCATGAGTGTCTCAAGGATCGTAATAAAGTGGAGTGCACCGATGAATGAACGTATGGGATGTGATTTTGTTGATAACTGGTCATTCGACACCTCGTCACGCGCCAACACGAATAAACATCGTATTGATTTAACTGTCCTGCTCGATAACGTCTGCAAGATAAGCTATCAATTAAAAGGACATAGTTTACTGATTAGTCCTTCGAAGAAAATACAATATACTATGTTTTTGAAATCTATCTAAATAATATCATCGATATGAATCACCACAAGTGTTTGTCCATACATTTTACAGGATTTATTCTTATCAATTATTTTTACGGTAGTCAATAATGATGACACATGACTGACAGTGTCCTGCTACAATCAAGTCAAGAATTGTCCAGATTATACACAATGACATTTTGAACAATTAAGTATACCCAATATAAACTTTATGCAAAGAAAAATTCATTCGAGATCCAAGTACAGTATATTATTGAGTAGCACTTTTTTTAATATCAGTATCCATAGCCTAGTATAAGTGTCCTCCTACGAGGGTATATAACTAAAATGGGTGTTTCGAGAAGTGGGCGGTGCCAAGCGTCCCGTTGGTTAACGTGTCGACCAACTGTTACTCGTCTCTCCAATTTCTCCTATGATACGTATTATCACGAATATGAATATTCCAAATTGTTGTTACATGAAAATAACAAATATTGTTTATTCTTCAAAATAGTCCTTTTTACATTGACTTCATTCCATTTGTTGTTGTAGACTGTAGTTGTCATTTCTGACAGAGATTTGTGTGAGTTTTGTGATAAATTAATTTGTAATAACTTTTGTAGAGACAAAATAAGACAAAAAAAGAGAAATGTTAAAGATTTGCCACTTATCTATACGTAAATAGGAAATGATAAGTATCTCTTCATCAATTGATCACTGCACGAGACGCTAAATTTCTCTTAATCTATTCGCGTTGATGCGAATAAAATAAGAAGAAAATAAAATACAGAAAGGAAAGGAAAGTAAAGTTCATCATCGATGGGTATGGTAGTAAAAGTTGGTGCCGTCAGACATGACGCGAAGAAGAAATACCATTTGCTGATTCGTCGAGAGTGGGAACGGTTCGACCAATCGATTTGAGAAATAACCACGCTCCTCCAGCTCACATCACGCCTCCAAATAGGAAAGAAGACTATAGAGCTGTTGGGCTCTTGGGAAGGCCGGAAATCCAGTCGCTCGAAAACACAATAATGTTCCACATCATTCGCGTTGGATAGTGGATGGATGGATCGATCGATCGATCGACCGATCGGTTGTGCCCTTTAACCGCTAAAATTGAATCATCAATTAATCAAATTGTGCTGACAAAAATCAACAAAGAGAATAATATTTGTGCGACAGTGAGAATGATTTAACGTTAACTGTTATGTTTGTTCTCTCTTTTTCTTTCGTATCGCTTATCGTATCGCTCGTCGTATCGCTCGTCCTCGTTCCTCGAATTGGGGAAAATGTTCGAAGCGAGTTTGTGAGGATTGTGTTATAAGATTCGATGGATCAAAGTATGATAGTGACGTCGTCATTGACGCGAGGAGGATCTCTCTCAGAGATCAACAGCAGAAGACAATATATGATTACGACGACAACAACGACGACGACAACGACGACGACGACGACGACTACGACGATGACGATGACGATGACAACGTCGACTACGATGAAAAACGAATCGGAAAGTAATAATGTTCATATGCACGGCCAAGAAATACAGTCACAGTCCGTCGGGCAAGTAAGTTCGACGTTAGTGGGTGCTCGTACAGGTTTTGGATTGCACGGGAATCTTTCGCAGCATCAAAACATGGAACAAATAATGTGCAATCCGTCAAACACGGAAGTGACACGTAAACCAGGTGCGCGTCGTCAAGAGAAACCACCTTATTCGTATATTGCTTTGATCGTAATGGCGATACAATCGAGCCCAGTGAAGAAACTGACACTCTCGGAAATTTATTCGTTTCTTCAACAACGTTTCGCCTTCTTTCGCGGTGCTTATCAAGGCTGGAAGAACTCGGTTCGACATAATCTTAGCTTGAACGAGTGTTTCATTAAATTACCGAAAGGTCTTGGTAGGGCGGGAAAAGGTCATTATTGGACCATCGATCCTTCAACCGAGTATATGTTCGAGGAGGGTAGCTTTCGTCGTCGGCCACGGGGATTTCGTCGTAAAGGACAAGCTTTGAAAGCTCAATATCCTCAATATTATTCGGCGGGTGGACCGGTGGTAGGTGTACAAACTGGCTACGACAATTTAGCAGCGTCTGGCGGCATGGATTACGCTAATGGTTATCAAAATCAATATCAGAATTATCAGGAATATGCGATGTATGGGCCAGCGGCAGCTGTTTCAGCGGATTGGACTTATCCCGAGTCGAGTTATAAAACACCCCCGATAGCCGAAGTCACCTATAAAACTACCGAAGTCACTTATAAGACCGGGGAACCATCGTCCGTTTATCGTAACGGTGAATTGGTTACGTTTAAGAGCGAGCCCGGTTATGGTACTGGTAGAAATCAGGATCAATTAAGCACCGTGGCAGCCGCTTACAGACCACCAATTGATGGATTTCAACTAAAGGATCACCATCCTCAGCATCAGGAAACAATATACAAGGATAACGAAGGTATGATGATCTACAAGTGCGCGGCGGCCGGTAATCCCACCGTAAACGCTCAAGCTACTACCGGACAAGACTATTACGTGGGTTATGGTGCTATCGGTGTCAACAATCCTGGTGTTCCAGCCACGGCTAACGTCAATGTCAATCTAACCATGCAGATGGTTCATGATCAAAACGGAAACGGCGGCGGCGGCAGTCCAGCTGGAAACGTCGTAGCTTCGGCGCACAGTCAAACACCTGTCGTCACCGATCATGGTCAGTTATTCATTTTTATTCATTTTCTTTCATTTCATTCTCGAATCTTAATCCAGATATACGTAAGGTAGGGTGGTTAGGAGCAAGGATTCGAAATGATTGTAAATTGCGAGGAAAACATTATCTCGCGGTGATGATGATGTTGTCATTTTGGGGCCATCTGGAAGACCGGAGACAGTTTACGAGCTCACTGGCTCGCCCGGCGCCAGAATCCGTAATACGAAACTCAAGAACGCGCACTTTTAACGCATAACTCTACGGATTCGTCGGGCCATTCTGGAATTGTCGTTTCTGGGATGTCGAAATTATTTAAAACAACAAAATACAATGTCTGCAAGTACTCATACAGGAAAAGAAAAAGAAAAGAAAAAGAAAAGAAAAAGAAAAGAAAAAGAACATTGGTAGTTGACATTTACGCGGTGAAAAACGTCAAAGAATCGTAGGAGTTGACAGGACCTATTAGCTGAGATGAACGCACAACCCGCCCAGATGCACTCCCTATCATCTTTTCCTAGCTCCTAATTCTTCCTTTTTAAACTAACACGTGTAAATTCGAAACTTGCCCGCCTTTCTCCTCCCACGCACTTTTGTTTTTTTGTTGTTGTTCGACTCTGACGAAATACTAATTTCCTATTAGTCAAAGTAAGAACAATTTTTTACGATCATTTAATTGACCATAAATGATTTAACAATAGAGGGAGAAAAAATGTGAAAGTACTACAAATTGATGATACTTGTAAACTTTTTGCCACGTGCAATTAGTAGAGAGTCGCGTGCTGCTTGTAAGAGCGAAAGAGCTTCGGAATCGTGGCCCACCACGCTTGTAAACATTTACAAAGCGTGATAAACAAGACGTTACTCTAATATACGCTCCACTTACGAATAAACGAAATACAGTAGTAGTAGTAGTAGTAGTAGTAGTAGTAGTAATAGTAGGTGAAGGCAATATTCGAGTAAACGGCTTTTTAACTCGTCAAAGTGTAAGCTCGAGTAGGGAGTTAAAATTTAATGATACTTCAAATTGATAGGATCGAAACAAACAAAGGGTGAACTTGATCGATTATACAATCTCGCAGTGTCAAGCTATAAGCTTATAATCGTCAAGATCTTATATCCAATTTTTATTCGGTTTTCCTTGTCGATAAGTACAATCTATTCCTTCTATATAATACATTTACAAATAATCTCCTGTAAATGGTCTCGACGGTAACGGATAAACTCGCCACCCACGCATTTACCACCCTTCCAGTTGAACCTTAGTTCACGTGGGCTCGGTTATATCTTCCCATCTCATTTCCGTCAGTCACTGAAGTGTAAACGAGATCAATCTGCACCGGATAGAATTTTCTTTTTTCTTTCTTTTACTCTTTTTTTTCTTTTTTTCTCTTTCCCTATGTCCTCCTCCTCCTCCTCCTCCCTCGTCTCTCCCACAATTTCTTCCCCGGTTCTGGTATATTTCTGGCCGCATCTCTCTCTCGACATTATTCTCGTTGTGTTACCGCGAATACCGTCTTGGTATTCGACCAGAAACTAGCTACTGTATCCGTCTTTTATAGCAGCACTGTTTTTCGATCGCCTTCGACGCGTTTGTAAAAAAGAAAAAAAAGAGAAAAAAAAAAGAAAAAAAGAAAAAAATTAGCGACGAACACGTTGGCCCACGAGGATCCACGAGCAACGAGACTCGAGCAGCCTTCTTCTCTTCTTCTTCGTCTTCGTCTTCGTCTTCGTCTTCGTCTTCTTCACGTCGCAGAGAGAAAGAGAGAGATTTTCAGTGGCATCCGAAAGACCACACACGATGTCGTTTTGAAGCTTGTACGAGAGTTGATGCTACTCTTTAGATCCTATCTTCTGTGTTTTAGAGACTTAACGATAACACACGTATCCTTCTTAACCCTTTTAAAGTGTATGTTGGAATTTATTTTCAATATTTTTATACCTATTTCTAAAATATTACATTTTTTAACAAATTGAAATTTACTGCTCTCTCTATATATATAATTTGCGTGTTTTTTGTTTTTTTTCGACTAACGAAGAAGCAAGAAGTCGAGACACGAGTGAAGTGGTCACTCGAAGCTTGAGACTACTTGAGAACTGGCAGGGCTTAGAATTGATCGTACCCCCCGCCCTCTCCTATACAAGGACCGATTTCTATAACGAGAAAACTTTTGCCTCTTTTATTATGATTTTTCTTCTGTGTACTTTTAAACGATGCACCCATTATGTGTGGTCTAATATTTAGTCAAACTTCTTTCAGTCAAACATCATTCCTAATAATGAAGGATTTATCAACTCTGTTTCAGGCTTGAAAATTCAATGCTCCAATTCAAGTTCAAATAGTTCTGGAGGTAGCATAATCGATAGAAAGCCATCGTACTTTGGTCATCCAACGGGTACCGTGAGCTTGAGTTCCTTGAGTTCTTTGGGTTCTCTGAACTTAAGTAATATCGGTAGTAGTTTGAGTATATCAAACGTACCGAACGTAGCCGTTTCCTCGTGTCTTCATCACGCAGCAAGCACACCACCACCACCACCACCACCACCAACATCGACACCATCTACGACGACACCAACAACACCAACACCGACCATGTATTACGATCAAGTCAAGTACAATATATGAAAAGTGTCCAACTATGAATTTGACTTTGGAAACAATGTCTTCTTATCAACTTACATTACGTGAAAAGTGAACAAGTTTGAAAATAGGGGAAGAAAAAACATAGAGGGTCGATATTATCCTCGCACAAAAATGATTTCATTATAATACGCTAGAATGATGATGATAATGACGATGAGGAGGACATTACTTTGTTCTTCTTCGATCTGACTTTGATAGTTGCCCACCTAGAGGTATTTTAATATGTATATGTATTTATAATTAATTCATTAAATAGCGTTATTATAATTTAAGGACAAGCACATTTTCTTCTATTTTCTTCGAGCCAAATTTGTAGAACTTTGAATGGAAAAAGAAGGAAAGGAAAAAAAAAGAAAATAAGAAAAATAAAATCTAGAGTATTGTTCATTTATTGATCATATGACGTCAACCGGTATCCCAGTAAATTCTATAAACGCGAATGACGTACTTACTTATTCGCCCTCTTTCCTACGCGTTGATTCGAATGCGAATATCCTCCTCTTCGGTTTTGTGGCAACGATAAGAAAACTCGACGGAGATTGGCAAATTTGTAAACACAGTAAGATATTGAATAGGAATAAGGATGATTCGATAGAAACGCGGTTTTCTTCCGAAAAACCGCAATGACAACTTATCCGTTTATGGTATTTTTGTTCAATTCATTCAAATATTCTCCCATATTTGGAAAGATCAAAAACAAACAGCCCTCTACTTAGGGGTCTACTTAGTAGTACTTTGCTTATGAACATCTTTCACGATGTTCTTCCATGCTTTGACTTTTTCGTGAAGATTTTTTTTTCAACTGAACAGGAAAACGGGGGGGGGGAAAAAGTAGAAGAAGAAAAAAAATAGTTGTAACGACAGAGAGCCATATAACAGCTAGCAGCACAGCAAAGATAATGGGAACGTAAGCGATAGTGTAACATGTTGCTAGCAGTCCTCCTCAAAGTCCGAGCTAGTCGTAAAAATGTTCGTAAAAATGTTCGTAAATATGTTCGTAAAAGAAAATCCGCATCCTCGGATCTTGACCGAAAAAAAAAAGGATCGGTAGGTTGTTACCTATTCGAGTGATATAGAATCCCTTTTTGAATATCGCGTTACCCTTTGTGCCGCCTTTGGTAATGTAAGGTTGCGGTCCTTTTTATTTTCTTGTATTTTTTTCTACAGAAACGCAACTCGATAATAAATATCGTCACCGTCCAAAAATAACTTTGACATCTGATTTGAATTTCGTTATCGCAAACGAGAGGAATGTTGTTACGCTAAGAAGATTCATCGAATTGGTCATCAGATAAAATAGACAAAACAATATTCCAAATCAAATAATGCAATAAGTAAGTCAAAGATTGATTTGTATCCTATAACTATCATTAACTATCACTAACTCACTATCATTTATATCAACGTAATTAGCTTGAAATGGAATTCAACAAAAGTGAGTATGTACATTTAGTTAAATACGAAAGAAAAGAGATCATCCTCAAATCGATCATCCAACGTTTGGTTGAATCGGGTTAGGCAACTAAGTGGAAGGATTGCTTATACAATAAATTAGAGGAGCGTTCATGATGTGTATGATGAAGAGAACGTACGTATATATATGGTGTCGGCTTACACGAAGCAGATTCGACGCAATCGACATTAATTTCAAGATGAACACAAATCATTTTCTTCTTCAACACAACAATCGCGTACAAAGAGACGACTCATGATAATACTTTATTTACATTTATAAGTATTTAATTCTTTTAGATTTTCATTAGAAAAATATAGGCTGTTGTAAACATTGACAATTTGTAATTGCATTTATTACTCTATTTGCAACTGTTTAACTGTTTAACTGTTTACAAAGTGAAATTTCTTGACACCCTGTAGATCTTCGATCGGCCTAAAATTTAGTTAACTAACTAAAATTTCTCCCGTTTTCTTACAAGATTCGATTTAATGCATTTCGACGATGTGCACGAGGTGCAAGAGAAGTCACTCAATGGGACCGACGACAGCTACATTGCTACATTTAAAGTGGGCTTCTTTCGGATCCTATACCCACAATAGGGGCACAAAAATGCCACACAGTTGTTTGTTTGTTTGTATTTATTTAAATAACATTTCTAAAGTATTTCTAAGGTAAGTCGATCGTGTCATACCTATGAGAAAGAAAGAAAAAAAGGTAATCAGACTCCTAGTTTCATATTTTTTCATCAAATCTACAAGCTATACAGCTCATTTCGGGAAAGTATAAAACGCAGAAACGATAACGTCGATATTTCTACGAAGTAACGTTGGGTAAATTTTTAAAATAGCAGCCTTTCGAAGAGTCTGTTAGATGACTGCATTATTTCAAGGTATTTTCGCAGTGCCGGCCTACGTGAGAGACGAAACCTATACCGAGAGAGGAATAGGGCTCCCTGTAAAATAATAAACTAATCTCGATAATGTGTCTGTGTGTGCGTGTGCGTGTGCGTGTGCGTGTGTATGTGTAGTACTCTTATGTTAGATCAAATCAAATTACGTGCTTCGTGATTTACATTATACAGGCACATAGCTTTAAAAAAGAGAACAAAACAAAACAAAACAAAACAAAAAGAAACTCATTTAAAGTTCGTCGACTGTACTTGGAAAATTATACAGTTGAGAAAAACCAAACAAACAAAATGTTTCAATTACAAATTGCCAAATGTAAATAGTGCAGTTGACTCATCTACCTACCATCATACATATATACATATATATAGAGAGAGAGAGAGAGGAACGATTAAGTCAAGTGCGCATGCGCGTAAAAAGCGCCACACGTTTTCATTTTACTAACGAATCGTTTTAGCGGTAGCGATAAACCCGTGCTTTTCATGAAATTCATTTCTATCAGAATAATATTTTGTAGTTTTTTTTATTGATTGATAATGGAGCAAATACTATCAAAGCTACTCGTAGCTGATAATGCTACTATACTAGAGGTATGTACCTTAATCTAATGATATTTCATAGGATTTCAATAAATGGATCTATCTGCAAACACTGTAAAACACGTGTTTATTTCCAAGTACAGTCATTTATTATATTTATCATATGTTTACATTGATTTTCTATTTGAAAATCTTTGTCTATTATAGAAAATGTTGAAGATGAAATATAATTGTTTAGTTTGAGTGTAGACAATGGTAGGACTAGTGCATTTCCATGCACTTAACCTATATTGCAAATTTGACTTTTTTTCTAGAATTTCTACATTTGTAGTTGGAACATTTATGTAGAATTTGTAATATTTGTTATATCCAGGGCACTGCAGAACTACGAAAAGCATTCAAGGATTATGAAAGTACAGCCGCTTTATACCGACTTGTTGTATCTTCTGCCAATCCACAGGTACGTATATAATATTGTATGTTTCTTAATGACAAAAATATACTATTATATTGATATATATAATACGCTTGAAATACTCTTGTCTTTAGATTAGGCAGTATGCAGCGGTTTTACTTAGAAAGCGTTATAGCAAAGGAAAATATTGGACAGAATTACCATTACATATACGTACTGACTTTAAAGCGACGATCCTACCTGTAAGCACAAATATTTTATTCATTATATTTCTTTCATATGTTATAGTTGATTTGTTTAATTAGGCACTATGCAACGAATCAGAAAAACCTGTAAAAAATTCGATAGTCCAATTAATAGGAACTATAGTTAAACACGAATTACCCAATAACAGTTGGCCAGAAGTATTGCAGTTAGTACATCAATTAGTTCTGAATGAAAATGTATTTCACAAAGAGGTAATCAATACTTTTTGGCTGCTCAATTTTGACCACTTGACAGTTTAGTTTTAGAGTTGAAATTAATTGAAATTAATTGTTGTTCATTATACAGTTAGGTATGTATACATTGGCAACTATGACGGAGGTAGCACCAAACGCATATAAAGTTTATGCAGACTCTGTTGTCACTCTTCTTTCTCAAACATTAAATAATCTACGAGATTCAGAATATTCTATTGCATTTTATGCTATACAAACGTTACAAAATTTAATTCCGTTAGTTAATGAAAATCAAAATGTACGTACCGAATTGACATTAGTATTATAAAAGTAGTATTCTTCTTAACACTTAAATCGTATTAACGACTATATTTGATACAGATGATAAATGCCTACAGTCGTATGATGCCACAGATTATGTCGACGATACAGATTTTGGCAGCAGTCGATGAAGATAAAGCTACAACATCTTTCGAATTATTAGACGATTTGTGTGAAAATGAAATTAATGTAATAGCACCGCATGTGAAGGCACTTATTAGCATGTGCCTTGTTATTGCCAGTAACAAATCTTTATCCGATCCTCTTCGCGTTAAAGCAATTTGCTTTATCAGTTGGCTTGCAAGAACTAGAAAAAAGAGTCTTATTAAACACAAATTGGTTGAACCAATTGTCGGTAAGGATTTATATTTATATGTATAATATTTTCTCTTTTATATTATATTATGGCAGAATTAATGCAATTTACAGATACATTATTCGCTCTCATGTCATCTCGTCCCGATGATGACAGCGAAGAGGTTTACTTTAGTAACGATAACGAAGATAGTACACCTATTACCTGTGCAACTCAAACATTGGATACATTAGCATTGCACTTGCCCCCTGAAAAACTAATTCCACATTTGGTACTTACTTGATTATTATATGATGACTAAAATTTTGCAATAATGAAAATAGATATTTGTCGTCGTCTTTCTCTTTTAGTTGAAGCACATTGAACCGGGTCTTCAAGGATCTGACATTTATGCTAAAGCATCATCGCATTTAGTTATGGCAGTACTTGCTGAAGGTTGCTCGGAACATATACGATCAAAGTATTTAGAATCATTCTTACGGTGCATTTGTCAAGGAATTGCCGATGCTGCACCTATTGTAAGAAATGCTGCTCTATTTGCCCTCGGCCAATTTTCCGAACACTTACAACCAGATATATCACAATATTCGTATGAACTATTACCTGTATTATTCGAATACCTTGGTCAAGTATGTACTCTTATTAGACAAGAGAAAAAAGAACCACCGTCGATCGATCGAATGTTTTATGCTCTTGAAATGTTTTGTGAAAATTTAAATGAAAGTTTATTACCGTATTTACCTACTTTGATGGAAAGAATTTTTGAAATATTAAACGCAGACACTTCGTTACATGTTAAAGAATTAACATTGAGTGTCATTAGCTCGGCAGCTTATGCCAGTAAGGAAAACATGTTGCCTTATTTTGAAAAAATTATTGCTATTCTTAATGGTTATCTTACGGAGAAACAAACGGATCAAACTATGTGTCTTCAAATGCAAGCAGTTGGTTGGTTTTCAAATGATATTATGTCATTGCAAATGTTTAATAATAATATAAATCACCTGCAGATATATATAGTAGACACATATATTTCAATTTACAGATACACTTGGAATAATTGCTAGAACGATAGGAGATGACAATTTTGCACCACTGGCAACTACATCTCTCGAATTTGGATTAAATTTATTGAAGGAAACTGAAGACCCTGACATGCGAAAATCTATTTACGGCTTATTTGCTTCCATTAGTAAAGTTATGAAAAAAGATATTGCAATAGCGCTACCTCAAATTGTTGACTACGCGATAAACAGTATACAAAGTTCTGAAGGTATAGTGGTAAGTATTTAAAGAAATATCATCACAAACGCATCACTTTATTTCAATGATTAATATTGATTTTCGGATTTTCGGATTTTCTGATTTTCCCAGACTCATTTTAAAGAAGATGAAACTACCGCTTTCTCCATATATGAAGATCTAAGCGATGAAACTGAAGATGAGGAGGATATAGAAAATACAGATAACGAAGAAGACGGAGATGATGAAGATGTAGCGGGTTACAGCGTAGAAAATTCTTACATCGAAGAAAAGGAAGAAGCAATCATGGCACTTAAAGAGATCGCTCAATATACAGAGTAACAATATATTTATTATTAATTTTTCATGTACATCTATGACTAATAATTCATATTTATCAATTTCTCTTTCCCATAGAGAAGCATTTTTGCCATATCTTGAGAAATCATTTGAAGAGATCTTCAAATTAATTAATTATCCCCAAGAGGATATTCGAAAGGCAGCTATAGAGGCTTTATTACAGTTTTGTATTAATTTTTCCAAAATTAATTCCAACGAAGGTAGACAATCAATGTTCAAAGCATTGTCAGTTTTTATCCCTAAACTGTCGGAATTAATAAGACTAGATGACGAAAGAACAGTAGCTATGAGTGGATTGGATGCGTATTCGGAAATGCTTAAAGAAATAAAGTCTGATGTTTTAATTGGAGAAGGTCATAAATATGCTATTATGAACTGCATAACGGATGTTATGTCTGGTATTTCTAATGTCATTTTATAATTGCTAAATTTCTTACTAATTGTTAATAATTGTACATACAACCTTTAAAGGTAAAACCAAGTGCCAAGATCAGGAAGAAGGAGAGGACGTAGAGATCGAAGCGGAACAAGACGAATTGTTAGTCGAATGTGCAGGTGATCTACTTACAAACCTGAAAAAAGTCATTTCGTCGGAAGACTTTGCAATTTACTTTGAAGTAGTATTATCAATGCTTCTAGAAAGATCGGTAAATCTATTCCTCCCTGTATTTTGAATAATCCTTCTTCATTCGTTATTCTCTCTCATTACTTTAATATGATGTGTTTTATTCATAGAAAAAAAACAAATCCGATACGCAAAGAGCTTTTGCAGTTGGAACTATTTCAGAGTGTATTTCTGGCCTTAAACAAGCTGTCGCCGCTTTTTTGCCCCAACTACTTCCTATGTTTTTAAAGTTTGCTAATGATTCTAATGCCAATGTTCGCAACAATGCGATATATGGACTCGGTGAGCTTGTCTTACATGGCAAAGAAGCAGTTTTTCCGTATCCTTTCTCAATCTATTTTATTATTTACATTATTCCTCTAGTATATTCTTTAACAACTATATCATAGTCACTATCCTAATATTTTACAAACTTTATCTAGTGCTATTGCTAAAGAATCGCACATAGGTGCTCGAGATAACGTTTTAGGTGCAATAGCACGCTTGATTATTACGAATTATGAAATTTTACCGCTGGAACAGGTATTTCCAGTATTCGTTAATCAATTGCCATTGAAGGAAGATTATTTGGAGAACAAAGCTGTTTTTAAAAGTATTTTAACCTTGTATCAAGTTGGACATAGTATATTACAAGCACACATGCGTACTTTACTTCAAGTTGCAATCAGCGTACTACAAGAAGGAAAAACTTCCGATGACGGTAAATTTGCAAATTATTTATTATTAATAAATGAAATTATTATTCATTGTTTTCTTTTACTTTTCTCTCTTTCTCTCTTTCTCTCTTTCTCTCTTTCTCTCTCTCTCTATAACAGAAACAAAAAGTCTTGTAATGGAGTTCGTGCGATCCGCTCAACGGGATTTCCCAAACGATTGGAATTCAATCTACACTGAATTACCACCAGAAATAGCTACAAATATTCAACAAATGTTTTCTTAAATTATCATTTGAATTGATTTAAATATTTACTTGTTTCGAATTCATTTCAAGGTATTCTACACGAAATACAACATTTTCCCTAATTCTAATCGCTAATTGTTATCATCGTTGTACACGATTCTACTGTAATAATCTACTGATGATGTCATTTTATTCTGTAATTATCAAAATAGCTATTATTTAATCGTCGATATAAGATTATTGAAGAAAATAACTTTGAAATATTTTACATCTTGACGAGAATTGGTATTCTATTTCTCAAACAAAATGTCAGCATTGGTTAACCACTTGGTTAGAAAATTCTTGTCTCCCGAAGAAAGGTGCTATTATTCTCTAATTGTTCTTGTAATTAGTTCTTGTACAAATCATTGTTCATCGATTGACCAAAAAAGTTGATATATTTGTATGAATTAATGTCTACTTTGTAGAGACGACTCCCTGTTAATTATTATGCTAATAGAATTATGCAGTTACAGTGACAAAAAAAAAATAATAATTTTGTTTGAGAAAGAAGCAAATATTATAAAGATATATATTTATTTTTATCATATAAAAAATGATTAACGTTGCAAAAATCTGAATTTTGTTACCGACTGTAAAATGTGTGCCGCCATCTAGCGGTACGAGTTATTACTTTATTTTACCGACCGGTAAAATATGTGTCGCCATCTAATCAGAAAAGTACGTACTACTTATTACTTGAAATAAATATTTTACATAAATTTATTTAATGAATACTTTCATGTTTTACGTGTATGTATGTTCTCTCTCTCTCTCTCTCTCTTTCGTTATGCTGTTACAGGACACGTCATACTATTAAAAAAACAGATTGTAAATACATCCGATTCCCATCATATCTGCTGAGTACTTGGAAAAATTTCCTGGTATTAAAAAGACAATCATAAGACTTTCAATGGATTATCACACACATCAGCAGCTTCAAAACAACGTACTAGATTTTCAATTGACTTTTTATATAAATTGAAAAATATCTATCTTCAAAATCAAACACACACACACACATTAAAGTATTGTAAAAGAAATATGGTATAGTATTATAAAAGAAGATATTAATTCATTCATACAAATTGAAGTTGGTGAATAATACTTCCGATGAATAATACATTTTTGCCTTTGATTATTGCTGTTTCAAATTGAACAATTTCATTGTCCCACCATATATATATATATACTTCATTTTGAGATGCTATCGATTGTTTTTTATCAGAAACAGATAATTATTTGCTTTAGTTGATTTTTCGAAGTCAAATCGAAAGCATTTACTTGATGATACAAAACTTGAACGCTATCAAATAACTCCAAAGTGATGTTTATAATATGTGTTATTTAAGAAGGTGTTAAACAATCAACTATACTATAAAAATCTTCAGATCTGTCGAAGGAAAAATATTACAGTAAAAAGCGATCTCTCTATTAAATACATAAATTCTTACTTTAGCGAGAAAGATAAAGCAACCAGCAAGTTGCATCGACCGTCACGACGATCGATGACAACGATCGATGACAATGATCGAACGTACAAAATGTCAAGAAATCATTCTAAGAAATATAAAACGTTCATCGCTTCGGAAAAAAGGAATATAATGAAAAATTTCATATCATATCGATTTGATCGATATCAAAAGTGTTCGTCGAGATTAGTCATCGCGGTGAACACGCGTCCTTGAAAAATCAGGCATGACTCGAATGAAAAAGACGTCACCTCGTAGGTGTACGTCGAGGACAATCGGAAATATAACGAGGTGATGAAGGACAAGGAGCAATGTATTATTATTACTTTAATCGTCTCGTCATCATTCAATTCAATAGAAAACAAAAGTCTATAGTTAATCGTTAACGAATCAAACTAACAAGTTAGAAATCGGAGAAGAAGTACAATTTTTACGATATCATTTAAATGATTTCCAAACAATATGCCATAAAATATATTATTGAGGATACTGTTCAAAGAAAAAACAGTTGAAAGGAATAATATTATAACTGTTTTTCTAAAACAACTGAACAACTTTGCTTTGAAAGGAAATTAAAAAACCGTCGAAAGTACGGTGGGTAGTATCGACAATTAATCCAGTTAATATTTATTATACAAAGAAAAAAGACATAATAGATTATGCAAATGAAAACAACTTTTCATTGGAATGAATTAAATAGACGACAACTCTCCAATTGAAAAGATACAGGTATATACTAGCTAGAGAGAGTTGTCATTTGACAAGAAATTGTTCTGCCATCATAAAATCGTCGACCGTTCGTTTGTTCGTTCGTTTGTTCGTTCGTTTGTTCGTTCTTTCAGTTCACACCTGTCGTTGGACTTGTAAAGGCCACCGCACGAACGAGATATTGAGAGCTCTCACACATATTCCAGTGGAAAGTTTCGTTTGAACTAGAACGCTTGCTTAGTTTGCTCTTCGAGATACTCCGGAACGCATCCCAACGCAACTGTCTTTGCCTCTTTGTTTCGATCACGGATATATATATATATTTATTATTATTATTATTATTATTTGCGTGACATTTGTGTAATCATTTGAAATATTTCTTCAACTCTTTTACAACCAAAGATTGGACGTTTGTAACGGTACGAGTAATTATTTCAAAGATATTGTTAGCTCTTACTGTAAAAAATAAGTAAAAAATAGTATCCTTTATGAAAACTCGATTAATTTGGTTTTTTTTAATACTATTTTTTGCTTTTTTTCAGCCAAATAGAAAGTCCACTTTTGGAAGGTAAAAAGGGGGACCGGAAAGATACCGGAGAACATTATTCGTATTGTATCGTTCGCATACGAAGGAGAAACGAACAGGATGTAATAAGGATATCCGCATTGATTTGAAAGCTTCTCCTTTAACAAGGTAGTCATAGTTGTTCCAATGTTTAATAACACTTTCATTATGTCTATATGTATAATCTAATATATAAAATGCACACACGCTAAAAAGTCAATCGATTTGCGCGTCTAATTACAAATTATTCATATATTTGCATATTACCTTTTAAAGAAATAATATTTGATTGTTGATTATAATGGCAAGTACTTTCGCGTGTTAATATACATACGCACGTTAAAATACGAAATGAACGTTTAATAAAAGTATGATGAAATCTACCTACAGAGAAGATATATCCTACAGAATACGAAATTGAATGGAACACACTCGTTGGAAGGAGAAACACGTAACACGAATTACAGAAGCGAGAATGCTCATGGAGAAAGTGTGACATTCTGTAAGATAGAAGGACAGACACCGTGATAAAAGTTCCTTCGGAGGTGACCGAAAAGAAGCAAAACTGTTCAAAGGAAGATATCAAAATAATACTTTTTAATCGAAGAAATGAAAAAAATTATTTGACAAACAAGTTGAAAAATGTAAATGATGAAAATATGCTAAGGATGTAAAGGAGTGTTATCGTAGTAACACATTAGTTGCTAACCATAGGGGAACTTGAAAGCTTATTTAAAAGGGCGCAACTAGTTTCTCGAGTGGCCCATTTCTCTTATCGCGATAAACTTTGAAGAATCGGTCCGGTGTGTCAGGGGAAACAAAGTGGTGAAAAAAGTGGTGAAAAAAGTGGTGAAAAAAGTGCTGAAAGAACTAGGGTGAATCAAAAGTATTGCGATATTTGAACGCGATGAACGGAGAAATCTCGACGCCGTCGACGCCGTCGTCGTCGTCGTCGTCGTCGTCGACGGCGACGTCGGCGTCGATATGGTCGTCATCATCGTCAACATCTTTACCCTCCTCTATCATAATCTTTTCTTTATCCTTCTCCTTCTCTCACTTTTTTGCCACCATCTCTACTTTAACTACCACTACCAGTACTTGACTATTATCATCGTCTTCCGGCTGATCGCAAGAACACCTACGAGGAATAATAAAATGGACGTAGAACTGGTCACCCGAGCATCCTTGACCTCTCTTCAGAACGTCGACGATGGTCGTGTCGTTTCACCCAATAGCCTCGACGAGTGGACTTGGTCCAGTTTAAGAGTAAGTTACAAACACCTTCCCTTTCTCCTATAATACTTATTTTATTATTTACTTTATATAACAACGTTTATCAATTTCAACATATTTTGATAGCTTGCAAAATATCTAAGTAATTAATTCAAACGTTCACGAATATATCACAGTTTATTAACACATGTATATTTCAGATAATACGAGTAGAAATGTGTACAAATGGTTAGACCGAACAATAAAAAAAATGGAGAAACGCTGTTGTATAAATATCTAACACTCGACATCAATTCACCTGTTCGTTGCATTCGACAGAATATTTGTTCTATCTACCGAATTATTTGCAATTCGTAATTCGACGTAATTTGGCCCATTGGATCGCATATCATTTTAATCGAACCATAAAGTTACGTTGACACTATTAAGTAGCCGGAATTCATATCGCATTTTTCTCTTTTTTTGTTCTTTTTCATATTTTTGTTATTTGAAAAATATTAGTCGGAGAAAATGAGCGTGCGCACGTTGTTTACCTCGCCTATCACATCCGCGTATCAGTAAACGCATTCGATAACTCGCGATCAGCGCAACATGATACACGATTTACTGTATGTGTGTGCGTTTTTTTCATTAATTCTTTCATTCCTTTTTTTTTCTCTTACCTCTTCATTATCAAACAAACCTAGTTGATAGTACGGAAAAGAGACTTTTTTTTATTATTAGTAGAATTTAATCATCTCGACAAGTGTTAACACGATAACTTGTCTTTTTTATTGTTTTTTTTTTTTTTTTTTTACATCGTTAAACAATTCAATCATAGAAAGATGAAATTCGACGATAAAATTGAATCACGTTTCATTCTCAACCATCATAATTAATGGTTCTCAATCTTGATTGCTCCCAATTCTTCTATTCTACAATATAAATAACAATTATAGTTGACAATGACATCATTAAAGTTATCTATATTTAGCTTATTTGCAATTTCTTAAATAATACTAACGAACGAAAAGAAACAATATTATATATGGTATATTTAAAGATGTGTATATTTCATTGAAAAATATCTGACAAGTTGATGAGAGTTGTAATAAAAAAGTGTTAAATAAATAACTGTTAAAATTGAAGTTTTGGAGACAAGTGTTTAGGGGAGGTAGCGAGGTTCGAAGCTATTTGAAATTGAAGATCAATATCCCTGAACGGGTCGAGAGGCTCTCGGCAAGTAGCAGCAAATTATACGAAAACGCACGCGCGAGAAACGCAGAGAAAGAAGCTTTTCGTTCTACGTATATTCCTTGAAAATTTTACCAGAGTGTGGCAGAGCTTCGCGAACCGCGCTCCCGATTCGTCTGTCTAAGAACAAAGAAAAAACACAAAAACGATCGATCCAAGATAGATTAATCGCCTTTTCTTATTTTCCAAAATCATCCTGCAAATATAGTAAAAAAAAAAAATACCTACAATGTTCAATACGCGAGTGCTTCCAATCCAAGTTTCTTATCAATATGATTCATTTTCTTTTTAATCAAACAAGTCAATAGTTTATTATTTATTTACTGTATTGAAGAAAGAGAAAGGGAGAGGGAGAGAATTGAACTAATTTTTCTTCTAGTGCCATTCCATTTAAGAGGAATATCACAATTATATGTAATTATACAAAACGCAACAATTATACAAAAACGCAAAAGTATAAATGATTAGATTTCTTGTATATTATTCTTCTCGAGTTAAAAATTAAAGAGAGTTTATTGTAAAAATCAACACACTCCTCGACGACGAGTACTCGGTTTCTCGTTTAAAATCTTATCAGGATCTTTGATTTTATTTTCAGAAACAATTCAAATATAAAAACTTGGAAAAACTTTATACCATCTATCAAAGAAGACTCCAATATGGTTACTTATCCTTATTCGTATTGGTGGAAATAATTTTGGGATTTATCTATTGTTTAGTGTTAATCACGATGGTGAGTAAATGCTAAACAATCTAATCTAATTTCTCGCTCGAGTTGCACTTTGTTTTTTATTACCCATTTTTATTTATTCGTTCATTTCGGTGCAGGTAAACATCGAAAAATGCATTCCAGACGTGATAGTTCACAGTATCATAGGTGCATTACTTTGTCCCACCATAGCGCTATCATTCAGATCAAAAATCATTGCGAGAAATACGTATTTGCCGGTTATGCTCTCCTGTTTGGTAATTACGCTGTTGGTGATCGGTGATCTGATGGTACCACTTTATTACACTCTTTTATATACCGAGGATATACCACCTATACGGTAAACTAATTCTTTCTAACTCTTATATCCCCGTAAATAATGATAAATAAGTATGAAAAATAAATAGACTATATCTTTATTATAGACCTACGTATGCAACTCACACGTTACTAGCATGTTACGTCTTCCTACCATTGACAGAAAATCTACACGCATTTGTACTGGGGATTACAGCAACGATGTGTTACTTGGTCACTCTTTTGCTCATCACTTATAGGAATACACCTGATTACATTAGCAAAGTAACATTTCATCAAATTTATTTCTACTTAAAAAATGTCATTCGGATCGAAACAGAATCAGATATATTTGCATTTCAGATAACCATTGATGCTATTTATTACATTTGCGTTAACGGCCTGGGTCTTTACTTTAGATTTATGAATGAAGTCGTAATAAGACGATCATTCCTTGATCGTCGAAAATGTGTCGAAACAACATTGAAACTTAATTATGAGAAAGATCAAGAGGTAATAATACAAATTGATAATATTATATTAAAATGTATAAAAATACGTTCTGGCGCGTTCTCTCTTCCTTTCTGAATATGTGCAACTCTGTATCGATAGCAAACTGCTAACAAACAAACTGCTAACAAACAAACAAACAAACAAACAAAAAGATCGTATAAGAGATGATGAAAAGCAATTTCAATAGAATACAGAAGGAAAAATCAATATAGTCGAAACAATATATATTAATATAAATGCATTTACGTTCTTTTACCTTTTTATAGGAACAACTCACACGTAGCATTCTTCCACAACATATAGCCGCAAGAATAAAAAAGGACTTTAGGGATATTTTTAAATTTATGGAAGAACATAAAAAGCCACCACCGAAAGGAGGAAGACCACGAAAGCAAGTTTCCTAGTTATTTTGAAAATGCCATTTATTATTATATAATAATAATATACTTTATATTGATATTATTTATCTTGATATTATTTGTTGGCAGTGATCTTTGCGTTGAAACGCACAATAACGTATCCATTTTATACGCCGACGTGGTCAATTTTTCTGGTTTGACTCTGTCATTACCAGTACGGAAACTAGTCGAAACTCTGAACGACTTGTTTGGCAGTTTCGACGAAGCATCAGAAAGGCATAACGTACTACGAATCAAGTTTTTAGGCGATTGCTATTATTGCGTGAGCGGTGTACCCACGCCAAACTCGCAACATGCCAAAAACTGCGTTGATTTAGGTAAACATGATGTGTTATGTTATGTTATTTATTCTAGCACTATTTTTCTCATCAACTTTTTTCTATAATACCTCCTTCCTTGTTGGACAGGCCTGGATATGATAAAAATAATCAAAGAAGTAAGAAGCAGGGTTCGTCGTGAAAGTGGTGTGGACGTTAACATGAGAATCGGTGTTCATTCGGGAAATATAATATCTGGAATTTTAGGCGCGAATAAATGGCAATACGACGTATGGTCGCGAGACGTTGTCATAGCGAATAAAATGGAACAAACTGGGAAACCTGGAAAGGTTCATGTTACTCAACAAACATTAGATCTCATTGATGCTACCGGTTACAATTGTGTACCGGTTGAAACGCTCAACGACGAAGTTCTTAATAAATATGGAATTCGTAGTTATTTAATTACACCCAGTGCGCCAGAATTATCATTGATGCAGGTATGTGTTTTTCAATGATAGATAACAACACCCGACACATAAGAGACATTACAATTGAATATATTACATACAAATATAATAAAAAAACAAAACGATTGCAAAGGATATTAAGATAATTACTGAAAGATATCAATCAATTGTTCTTCTAACTGACTGACAACAACTTCTATTTGACTAGGGTCAAATTTCGTTTGAACATTTCGTATCGTTGACAGGCGAACCTTGTTGCAGAACAGCGAGAACACCTTGACGGTAATTGCACCGGATACCTCGGCATCAAGCTATAAACATTACGTCAAATTCTTAACACCGGCAAGACCAAGTGTATCATCGAGTGCACGAAGACGATTAACCTCACCGAGTAACGATCACGCAGATGTCTTTGCCGGTAGTTACAGACGCAGAACTCACTTTATGGATTCTTGTTTGAGGGATTATCACTTGATGCTTAAAGCGGCAGACGCAGAAATGGAAGATGCAATTAAGCAGATGCCGCTTAGCAAATGGGAGTAAGTAAAACACAATTGATCTAAATTATTCATCATTAATATGCATGTTTGATATTGCATTATCTTTGTAAATGCAGCAAACGTGTTTCCAGGCAATGGACCAGATGGGAACATATCAATCCAATTTTCCTCAATTACAAACAATGGAATTGGGAGATACCATTTTTACGTGAACCAGATCCCTTGTTCAAATTCTTTGTCGCGTGCGCTGTATTTGTACTTTTTTTCATGGCTCTTATCTCTTTCGTACCAGCGATCACGCTATCAGAGTGCGTTACCTCCTGAAAAGTAATACTCTACAAATATAATCCATATACTTGATGGTAAATTTATATCAATTGATTCATTTTTACAGGTGGCATACCGGCACGGCCATAGGTTATACGATAGCTATGTTGTTTCTATTAACATTGATACCTCTTACATGGATGCATTTTGCGTGGAATCGTTACAAAGATCCACACGATGAAGGAAACGTTCCAAATCCTCGCAATAAATTGATATCTTTCTTGTATCAAACAAGCGTTAAGGTCAGCTACTAAATAAATTAGTACTATGTATAATATTTTCTTATTAAATTCGCTTACCACTTCTTCTTTTCTTCTTCTTTTCTATTAGGTTGTTTGGAGTGCATTGCTCAGGATAATTCTTTATCTGGTAATAACTATAATGTTAGCAGCATGCGCTATGTTCGACATGATTGTAAGTATTTTCAATGAAGTGATGAACAACCAACCAACCCCCACTGTAATATCATTTTACTCTTAACGATCACTTTTCAGTTCGAATGTCAAAACGTGGACCTATTGTCGAGCGATAATGTAACATCTAGTATAGCACAAGTGGGTGCTGCTAAACTTGAGTGTATTTCTACACCCTGGGTAAGATTATTTAGTAGGTAAACGATTAAATAAAGCATTATTATACATACATACATACATACATACATACAATTTAGCATCATTATTACTTTATACATTAATATTATTATTGCTTCAGCAAATGACGGAAACCTGTTCTTTGGCAATCCTTACAAGTTTCCTATTCTTGAGAGTGCATTACGTTCTCAAGTTACTGATAGGTATCGTAGTAGTAACATTTTATGCATGGAACGTTTGGATATACCGTAATAATATATTCCAGGTAATAATAATCTTTGTTAATTGTGTAATTGTGTAATTGTGTTATTGTTTCTACAGTTATTCTTCATACAATTTTGTATATTTTTGATAGTCAGGTGAAACATGGAATCCATATTTGGAGCCAAGAGTAGCACACATTTTAAGTGTTGTCTTTCTCACACTTTCACTGCATCTTATCGATCGTCAGGTGAATAATAAATCTGACTTCAAATCTATCTAACACCTTTTCTCAAGCTATTCACTTTTATTGCATACCGATATTTTATTATAAATGCTGACCACAAATGTTTTCAAATCTAAATAAATATAAACTCTCGATAAGCACCAGCAACTAGACTCAATATATTGGTTTATAGGTTGAGAAACCTATAGGTAGAGAGATGATCTATCATGCCTTTTAACATAATAACTATAATAAATAAAAGCATGTTTCCTTTACATGAACATTTATTTAGGCAGAATACTTGAGCAGATTGGACTATCAATGGAAACGACAATTGACTTTGGAACAAGACGAAGCTTTTCATACACGAAATGCTAATAAATTATTACTTCGGAATATTTTACCAGAACATGTTGGTAAGTATTGGTGGTTATTATAATCTTCTATCTTCTATCTATATATATTATACTCTTTAGTCATTCTAAGTCTAATGATTCTTCTAATCATTTCCGCTTTTTCCAGCGGAATTTTACTTAAATATGGATAGAACAGAAGGAAATGAACCGTACCATCGAGCACACCGCAATGTTGCCGTAATGTTTGCATCCTTAACGGATTTATCGATCGACGAAAGTAACATTTTGATTGATCTCAACGACATCATATGCAAGTTCGATAAATTGTTATTCGAGCCGTATTACGTTGGTCGTATAGAGAAAATCAAAATCGCAGGTACTATTTATCAATGAAATATGATTAACATTTAAAACTTATAGTAACATACATACATACATACATACATACATACATACATACATACATACATACATAATCAAATATATTTAACGATTAGGAACAACATATATGGCGGCTTGTGGTCTTGAAGCGAGTCGTCGTGATTCTATGCACAGTGTAGAAAGTGAAGACAATTCTAGCAACAATGTAGTCAAAGTTATGGCAGAATTTGCAGCGCAAATGATGGTCGTCCTAGATAGAATCAATGCTGAATCTAATTCTAAACCATATAGGTACGTCTAATTGTATCTGTCATAAAAACGATAACGAATAATAATAAATAAATATCATCCTATATTTGATAAATCTATAGGTTGAGAATTGGCATATCGCATGGAGAAGTTTCAGCTGGTGTTGTCGGAGCTCAAAAACCTCTTTACGATATTTGGGGAGACGCCGTTAATATGGCATCAAGAATGGATACTACTGGATTGCCAGGCAAAATACAGGTTTGATTTACGTATAAACTTGTTTCTAATTGAAAATGTAAAATGACTATTTTTGCTAATTGCTAACAGTTTATTGTTACAGGTAACTGCTGAAACTGCTAATGTATTAGAACAACAAGGTGTTAAATGTCATTTGCGCGGTGAAACATGGGTTAAACCAAAGGGATATGTCACGACATATTTCATAGGTATAGATGAAAGGAGGCAGCTTCAAAGAGCAGATTCCATAGAAGAAACTAGTCTCTAACCAATGAGTTAAATGAAATTATTTGATAGAATTCATTTATAGTGATTTTAATGTTCACTTCAATATTTGGGTACTTGAAGAATGAAATATCAAAAGCGCACAAAAAAACAAAAACAAAAACAAAAAAATCATAATACACACAGTGGGACAAACACCAAAGAAAGCTCAGGAAGAATGAAACATAGCACAAATAATTAAAGAATAGAGAACTTACTTTTGATTTTTATTTATATCAATTGATTGTGCAATTCCTCATCTCATTCTTTAAGTGGATTTCTACCATCTACCCCAATTATAGCTATTCTAAATGTTTAAACAAATCCTAACACATAAATAGTTTTACCTATTATTATTATTATTATTATTATTGTTTTGTTTCTTTATATTTATACATAATATTGTACAGTTACGTATCCTTTCGAAAGATCATATATTATCATGAAAGTAAGTAAGTAATTAATAATTAACAAAATGTACATTGAGAGAATTATCTCTTGATCTGCAAATGGTATTTTGATGCTAATTATTTTTCTAATCGTTAATATGATGGCATTTATCTATCGCTCTGTCGCTGAAATAATTTGAAAAATAATTGGAAGAAAAGAAAAAAAAGGAACGATTTAATAACGATTGCGTTATTTAAACATAAGATACTATGTAGTTGTTGTTAAAGTGAAAAAAAAAAGCTCATTGGCATAAATTATTTGTTAATTCATACTGCTGTAAAACATCTATGTCTTCTTATTTATTTGTCAGTGTGTGTAAGTTATATGTATGAATCATCAACGAGAACTGAAATAACATCTTTATTTTTTCATCTTATTCAATGAATGTAATGACGAATGTTTACTTATTTACTTGTAAATATCCTTTGTATATATTTTTTAACTAACATGAGAAACACAGTGACCAATATGGTTAATTGACAATTTAAATAAAAATATTTATTAAAAAAAAAACAAAAAAAAAACAAAAAAACAGGAATTACATTTTATTAAAACAAAATATCAAATGTGTAAAATATATAATAAATATATATTGACTAACTTGATAATTAGAATATATTCTAATATATGGCGAATGGAGGTGTCGTACTCAGGAACTACGGGAACAATGGTGGGCGTGGGATTTGCGGCCTATGCCAATTAATTAAAATCGAATTAGTATCGAATTAATATCGAATTAATATCGAATTAATATCGAATTAGTATCGAATTATAATCGGTAACACGGTCGGTAATGAAGAACCCTACGAAAAAATATGACCAGTTAATGAAATGTTATGTTCATTATTAGAACCCTAATTAATAACTCACTTGTGATAAAATCAAACTGTAATAATGAAAATCATCCCAAAAGCATTTAAAATTTGGTACGTTTGATGTGAAATTTCGGAATTTGTGTAAATTTACGTAACATGATTTAGATATTAGGAATAAAAATCGTCTGCTATGTGTATATATGTCTTATGTGACGACATTGAGACATCATTCATTTTCCTTGGATTAAGCAGTGACATTTAAATTGTTAATTTTCTGAAGAAAAGTTATTTGTCAATAGCTGTGAGACGGATCGCTGAAAGAAAAACTATAAAGATGGTAAAATAATGAAAAAGAAGGGTCGAATATTTAAAGAAGGCGTACATTGAATTCGACGGATTTTACTTTAAACAGAGGTTATATTGATCATCAGCATGACTTTCCACTTTCAGTTTGGGTTTAACATGTTTCCGGAGATTCCACGGCCCTTTAACACGCAGTACAAATGCTTCTCCGTCTCGATGCTACCAGGAATTTATAGGCAAGATGTGGAACGTGGTGGAAAAAGTTAGTCGGTGATGGATTTTGTTCTATTTGAATTGAATGTGATCAATTTCATGATGTCTTATACTAATGTCTATTGTGTCAATATTTCTTAATCATTTTTCTTTTTAGTAATTATGCCTCCATCAGCTCTAGAACAACTTACTAGATTAAATATTAATTATCCAATGTTGTTCAAATTAACGAATAAGAAAACTAATAGAATTACTCACTGCGGAGTATTAGAATTTGTAGCGGATGAAGGAAAAGTCTATTTGCCTTATTGGATGATGCACAATCTTCTTTTGGAAGAAGGAGAATTGTTAAACATTGAAAGTGTATCTCTTCCCATTGCCAAATTTTCACGTTTTCAGCCACAATCGGAAGACTTTTTAGATATTACTAATCCTAAAGCAGTATTAGAAAATGGTTTAAGAAGTTTTGCGTGTCTTACTACAGGAGATGTTATTGCAATAAAATATAATCAAAGAATATATGAGATGTGTGTATTAGAAACTAAACCTGGTCCAGCAGTTAGCATTATCGAATGCGATATGAATGTTGAATTTGCTCCACCTCTTGGATATAAAGAACCAGAAAGAGAAGCGAAAAACAATGAGACGGATGTAGATCCATCTGAATTAATGCCAACACCTACTGGTTTTGTACCATTTAAAGGACAAGGTAACAGATTAGATGGTAAAAAGCGTAAGGACTCGTCTCAACTTGATACGCTGACGAATAAAGTGGCTTATGTAAGAGGTATACCTGATTATGATTATAAAATAGGAACACTGAGGTTTCTAAGAAACATGAAGCCTATTAACAGCAAAGAAGTAAGTTTTATTTCATTTCTTCCTACGTATGACGTTTCATATTTTTTTTTTTTCATTATTATAATAACTCTATTAATAATTCTTTATAGGTAAAAGAGCAAGACGAATTCAAAGCATTCACTGGAGAAGGCTTCTCCCTTAGAAAGTCAAGAAAATGATAATGCAAGAAAATTCTAAATAAATAATTCTATTGTAATTCGATCACTTGGTCACGATCATTTATCATTATAATATTATGTATGTTATCCTTAAAATGTATTTGTTAGTATAATCACCCGTTGACAGTATACTTCTATCTTTGTACCCCTTAAGTCAACAAAAAAACATTTTTTAAATTTATAATATTGTTCTTTATAATGTTGAACCTGTTAAACAGTATAAGTAATACTTATATAATACAAAATGCATGAAATATATTAAAAACAAAATATACATATATATATATATTTGTATAATTTTAAAACAGCTTTTTTTTTTACAATAAATGTATAATATATTTTTCAGAGTTTTGCAGAATTTCTTAAATATTTCGATCAAATACAAATCTACGTATGACGTACAAATGTATGATTCTCAATCTTACGATATTCAAATACGAGTGTAAAGTTCAATATAAACCATATTTTTTCTACTATACTTGATCAAGCAATCGTCGCTAATGATTTCGTTTCATTTTGATAATTAATTCATTTTTATACAATCATAGATAGTACTTAACTCTTTTTATATTCGATCCTCTCTACTTTGACATCATCTCCAACTAACTGATATACATAGGTTACAACTGTGGAACTTTGTATATCCATTAAAACAAAAGATGGAATGACAGATCTGTAAATGATTTAATAGCAAGGTGTCAATATTTACAAATATTAACATATTAAAGATCGATAAATAATAAGTAATTCAATCTTTGTCACCAATCATGTAACTTTTTTTTCAAATATATTATAATTTAACAAGATTAGAGCTTACGTATCCAAGGGATTATATGCTCCCGTTGCTGATCCAGGATTAATGTAAAATTTATTTTCATGCTCATAAGCTTCAAATTTATGAGTATGACCCGATATTAAAATATCAACATCCAATTGTCTTTGAATCAAGGCTAAGGCTTCCGGATCTCCCCACGGTACAACTTGATGACCATGTGATAATCCTATTCTAAATTGTCCAACGGTAACAACCTTTTGTTCTGGATAATTTAAATTCTGCAATATAATCAAAATAAGGTATTAATATGATAGCCAAGTTGAATGAAAATGGTTAGAAAAAGAAATGCATACCTCGTCAAAATCTCCTCGTACTACATGTACATCGCTGGCCAGCGTTTTTAAATAATCATATGATTCTTTTGTACAAAGATTACCTGTACATAATATATGTTGTATTCTACCTGGTACTAAAAGCTTTTTAAATTTACTTGGAAGACTACTACACCTATGTGGAATGTGCAGATCTCCCAATACTAAAACAAGCTGTACAAACAATGTTAAATTATTGTAGCATAAATAGACATTATTTTCTTTCAATTCTTATTTATTTATTAATTAATAATAATAATATGTTTAATATGTTAATATGATTAAGATAGTAAGAGATAGAGAGATAGATATACAATAAATAATAAACTGGTTTTATGGTACTATGGAATATAACAAATTTAGAGGTTAAGACATTATTGATTAATCAATATATGATCTCACCATGATTCTATTGTGGTAAAGTTTTTATAAAAGTACACTTATTAACAGATGCCTTTTAACGTACTGCATTTATTAACAACTAATAAAACGTTATAATAAACTGTCAAACTAAGCTTATGGGTGTAGTTGACAATGACATGCAACGATGTCTCGATTTTTCATTTCGATTAACTTCGATTAATGTCGATTAATCGAACATTGAAAATATAGCCTTGCTTACTAATACTAAAGAGTCGAACGTTTATTTTATTAACTAATGAGTAGTGATTGTTTCGAATAAATTTTGAAATTAATCAAAGCAATAAAGGAATACAATATTACCAACACGAAAGATACAATTTGCGATGTATAATGTATATAACATACGTATATATGAATCTCGAACGTTAAATGGCGGGAACATTTTCGAGTTCTCTCGTCCGTTACAGCAAATTTATTTCTTATTTTGATTGAAATATTATTTTTTCTAATTATACAAAATAAATTTATCAATTAAATCATGAAGTGCGTCATACCTGGGGGAAATGTCAAAAGTATATTTATAACGAATATTTTTTATCTCTCTAGGTTATGTTACATTATAAATGTAATATAAAACATTATATTATAACAATGTCATGTGTTTACAATTGCAGTTTTAGCTAAAGCTATCCATGCCCTAGCAAAGATTGGTGATGAAATGTATTTACAATCGCAATCAAATAATTTATCCTTTCGTGCAGTTAACATGGCCAGTTCTGCTTACGCTCATTTTACATTTTATGAAAATTATTTCTCCTATTATGATATTGATGATCTTGAAGAAGACGAAGCTCTGAAATGTAAAATTTCTATGAGGGTAATTTCATTGAAACATTTATTAATGTGTTATTAATTTGTTGTTAAAGTTTTATTTCATTACATTATGTCCATTTGACAGAGTGCTATGACCGTTTTTAAAACTCCAAATGTAATAGATAAACAAGTAGAAACTTGTCATATTGAGTTAAAGCCAAATGCAGATTTTCTTTTTATTACCTTAAATTATAAAAATAGCATCATAAAAAGACACATTTTACCTATCATAGATGGTGAGACAATGCAAGTAAGTTTTATCAAGTAATGTTATCTCTCTCTCTCTTTTCTCTATTATGATGATTATTATTTATTTGATTTATATTTCTTTCTAGGCTAAATATGTAATAGACGGTGCCGCTAACCAGTTATCCGCACAATCTACTGTATTTGTAGATGCTATACAAAATTTTCAACAAAATTTAATCGAAATAACTTTGGAAATACTTCAGCAAAAAGTTTTGCTTAGAAATTATGCAGAAGATACATCTAGTAAGTCTTTTATTCAATTATTTTCTTTAAAGCTTACTAATAAATCAGATCTCTTAATGTAGGTATAACTAACATAACAAGGACACAATTGGTATTATTTAGAGGTGAATTTGATAAATATTCAGTTAATACAGAGACAGTTATTACATTTTGTATGAAAGAATTAAAAGCAATTCTTAATTTTGCTGAATTGGTTAAATTACCAATTAATATATATTTAGAAACTGCAGGAAGGTAAGTTTTAACACTATGCCGTCCAGCACGTGTAATAGATGTTAATAGATTCATTTGTTTGTCAATTGACAAACCCCCGGGGGTCGGGGCATCCATTGATATTCGGACGACATAATGTTCATTACTTTTACTTTATGCTATTGTTCCATTATTTTTATTGACTTTTTCTTTTCTCTCTTTCTTTGTTTCTTCTGGCAGACCTGTTGTGTTTGTGATCAAAAATTCAACATTTGAAGCAAATTTGGTATTGTCTACTTTAAATCCTGATGTAAATAGCCAATCTGAAACAATTGTTACTAGTAAATCAGTCAAATCTGTACAAAAAAAGAGTACAGTTAAAAGATCGAAAAAACGATCAAATAAATCTTCAAGTAGAAAAAATAATGCATCCATTTCACCAGAAAAAGAAACAAGTTGCATAGAAATAGGACGGGAAGCGAAAGACAATGATATCCATGCATTACCAAAAGAATATAATCAAAATGATATTCCAGCAAATGTGAGTGTATCGACTACGGGAAATATGTTCGCAAACCCGAGTGCATCTAGTAGCGATGATAAGAAATCAGTGTGTAGTGTATTTTCAAACGTATTGAAAAGAAAGTCTAGCGAAAGTGATACAATAGAAGTGTTCAAAAATGAGAATGTCATTAAAAAAGATGATGACAATGACATTACAAATATTTTCCCTAGATCACCATCACCTCCATCTAAGAAAGCACGCTTTATCTTTAAAAGATGTTTTCAAACAACATTTGATCTGAGTATGCTTCCTGGTCACGATGTAATCTTAGTTGAAGATTCAGATGAAAATAGTGAATAAATCTATTATTTATTTCAAATATTTACTTACAAATTATTATTTCATTATTGATATAATTAAATTGTTTCTATAATTTAGTCTTAGTCTTTCTCAGTGGACAATACACTAGGAAACAACACATTATTACTCTCCTTATATTATTCGTACGTAAGGACTTCTTTTCCTGATGTGCCATATATAGTATTATATATAT